ACTCTTTCCGCCATCTTCATCTCGCCTGTAATTTGGCCTGGATTGAAGATCCTTCGGCTTGTCCACAGAGAAAGGATCCTCAACAACCTGATGGTTTCTCTCGTACCGAAATCCACCATCGATCAACCGTTTCTTTCTAGGGTAATTCTTAGTATCCGAGTGAGAGTTTCCTTTTTCACTGTCTGTAGCATCCACACCAAACTTCCTTGAACCAGTTTTAGAGTTACCAGCTGTCCTGCTTGAGGTTTTGGTTCTCCCAGAAGAAGAAGGTTCACTTGACAGATGTTTTCTGCCCTGCAAACTAGAAACCGATGATTTTGAAGATGCTCTGTCTTTGCCAGACACACAGTTCTGCTTCTGATTGTTCTGCCGGAGCACTCCATTCGAAGACTTCTTATTCCCGTTCTTTGGAGTACCGGGTTGACTCCTAAATAGCTGAGTTGAGTTTGATGCCATCCATTCCTTTCTGTCATCTGTGATCTGGGCAGTACTTGAAGTTGAAGTCAGTCCCTCTCTTCTTTGAACATTTACTTTTGCTTGGACAGCAAGAGAAATGGACCTCCCTTTTGTTTTGACTCCACACCCATCCTCGCTGTTAGATGCTTTCTGAGATGTTGTTTCCAGTGGACCATTCCAGCTCTTGTTCAAGGATTGTCCCTTGAGGCTTCTTACAGCATCCGACTCCCCTTGTCTTCTAGTAGATTCGGTGAGCCTTGATGGTTTACTAGTAGCGTCCTCTACTTTTTCTTTCATATCTCTACCCCTCAAAGAGACTGAAGAGGATCCACCAGGGCCCATCTTTTGGGAAGACTCAACTTTTTCCCTAAGATCACGGAGTTTCAACTGCACCGAGGAAGATCCGAGATGAGTCATTTTAGCCCTAGGAGGCATTACTTGTGGGCTAGGTTCAATTATCCGAGCAGCTGCTTCCATTATATGAGCCGCATTCTTAGATGGGATGAAAGCAGGACTCTTTATGGGAGATAGAAGTTTATGGTGGGTGATGGGTATCGACTTAGCTGATCTAGGCGGTAAGATCTCTGTCTGAAACTTCTCGATAGGCTTGCTTGGAGTTCTCTGAGGCTTTGGCTCTGGAAATTTTCTAGCAGGACCCTCCACCTTATGCAGCAAGTAACCAGAATACATATAATCATGCTCATGATAGACACCATTATTTTTCTTCCACAGGTGGGATTCTTGAAGAGATCTTGTGTCGGAAAATGGACTGGAGAAGGGCTGCTCAGACATGGGCAACGAATCCAATCCCATAAGTCTAGCTACAACCCCTGGTGCTCTAGCTCCATACCCATCATCATCTGTCACAGACGAAGAGCAACTGTAATCACTACCAACCTTGACCCTAGCCCCAACTCCAGCCTCTTCCTCATCTACCTGCAAAATCTCAAAGCAATGACCGATTAAAACCTCAGCAAGGACTGCAAAGGCAAGATAAGAAATCTAATCGAGAGCTGAATATGACAGAGCTGAACTCTTACCAAACTGAGCTGCGTCATTGGCAGGCTTCCTTCGTGTATCTTCCCTTGCTTTGAATGCTCTACAAAAGCACAAACAGAGAAGCTTAATATCTCGGTATATGAGACAATGGCCTATACATATCATATCACAGAGTATAGTATGCGCAAGGAAAAAAATTGCTCATTAGCATGAATTTCTGAGAGTATTCACAAAAGCAGGCAGAGGAACACTGAAAGTACCTGGATAATCTGACTTGCCTGTGAACAATTTCTTCCGGGATTTCCCCTTCCAATCAAACAGCTGAAAGAATCCCCCGACATAACCTCCACTTCTTGAGCCTTCTTTGTCGACCCCCATTGTATCTCAAACAGTTGTTCCTATGGTTTTATACAAACCTGTTTCACCATCAAAAACCCATCTGCAACTCAATATACAAAATCTCAGCATCCGATTCTCAAATAACACAAATCGAGTCTCTTCCATTCTATTATCAACCCAAATTCATAGCTCAATAGCATATAAGGATCACTCCAAAATTTCAGCTTTCTAGTCCCAGTATACGCTCTTGTAAACCCATTTTTCTGGGATTTTGTTCAATACCAGAGGTAAATGATGCAGAAAAGGAAACTCAGAAGTCAGAACCCGTAGTTCAGCTAGCCCAGATCTACCCAAGTACCATTGAACCCTATATTACCAAATTCAGTGTGAACAAACTCATTCCCTGGACACTATACTAATTACATTCAAATCCCATCTTTTATCACAGTTTTCGTGCATTAACTCCAGAACAAACCCGAGAACACGAACATGAAAAGAAAACCCACGCGAGGATCTCCATTGAAGGCGCAGAAGAAGCAATGGCGTTTCTACTTGCAAGAAAAAGAATCACGCAAATTCCAAGACAAAATTGAAAACGAAAAAAAAAACACACAAAACCCAGAATTTCTTCTCGGATCAAACGCGAGAAACTTACATGAAAATCAACGCAAGAGGTCTACCAAATGCGTCCCCTGTCGTCGACGTCTCCTCCGAAGTAAAGAGCTGTACAGAGAGTTGCAGAGAGAAGGGGTCGAGCGTAGCTCAAAGCAATAAATGGCGAGAGGAGTAAATTAAAAATAATAAACGATTTTTTTTATTCATTATTTTTGAGGAAAAATAAAATAGTCGTAACGTCTCTTTGGGGGAGAGAGTTTCAAATTTCTAAACGGTGAAAAGGCCTTTGCAATCAGACCAAGGCGGGTTTTGATATTCTCACTGCTTGTGTCACCGTTCTACCTAACAGACATATTATGACCGTTCGATCTGACTAAAAGAGACGTGGCGATACACCTTTGCTTTTCCGATATGCCCTTATATTTTGCGGTTATTTGTCTTTTTCCCCACGCACTCAAAATTAAACGCCGACGACAAACTGACAAACGAATAACAAACGGTCAAATTCTGTGAGACGGCATCGTTTTATACCAAACAGGCTTAGCTAGATTCAGGCCCATTAAACTTGGGCTTTGACAAACGGCCCAACTATTTTCTTCTCTCTCTACGTACGGAAGCGTACTGGTCCTCCTTTAGGCGGCGCAGGATAGCGAGCCTTTGCCGTGAAACCTTATCGTTCTCCTGAGGATGCGCGTTGCTCCCCTCGCCGCCCAATAAAAGTGAAAAATCTCCCCGCCAATTTCATCGTCTCCTGTTTCGATTCTTCGACTTGAAGCTCGCTGTTTGTTCGTAATTTCCCTAGTTCTCGACAGGCGACAGGGATCTGCAATTACGTTCTCTTAGTTCCCTCTGAATTCAGCTTTTCTTTGTCTGTTTTTGCTCAGCAATAGCTCGGAGTTTCTTCAGGTGACCTCTTGCCCGAATTATTTTCGGGTTTCTCTTGGTTGTTCTTCCCCTCTCGGAGAATTTGGTTTGATTTGATTGTAGTGTTTGACGGATCTTTTTTCGGAATCAAAATTCTGGGTTTTATTGATTACTGTGTTCGATTGAGGATTATTAGTAATAGATGTTGGCTTGTAATCTAGTTGAATTTCTGTTAGCTCTTTTCTGCTTGACTCTTCTTTCGATGGCCTGGAATTTTTCTGTAAGACTATGTGGTTTCTTGTTTACAGCTTCGGAAATGTCGGAAGCAACGAGCGCAGCGATGGAATCTTCAGACAATGGGACTGATTTGTCTCAGGATGATACCGGCGGTGTCAAGGAGACACATGAGGAGACGATTTTATCGCAACAAACCTCAGTGAACCTTGTTCCCTACGTGGGACAAAGGTTTGTGTCTCAGGATGCGGCATATGAATTCTATTGCAGTTTTGCGAAGCAATGTGGTTTCTCAATCAGACGCCATAGAACCAGAGGGAAAGATGGAGTTGGTCGAGGAATCACACGGAGAGATTTTACGTGTCACAGAGGCGGGTATCCTCAGATGAAGCCATCGGAGGATGGGAAGATGCACAGGAATAGGAAATCGTCTCGTTGTGGGTGTCGAGCATATATGAGGATAGTTAAACGTGCAGATTTCGATGTTCCAGAATGGCGTGTAACCGGTTTTAGCAATGTTCATAACCACGAGCTTCTGAAATCAAATGAAGTTCGACTTCTTCCTGCTTATTGTACAATGAGCCAGGATGACAAGACGAGGATTTGTATGTTTTCAAAAGCTGGGATGTCGGTTAGGCAAATGTTGAGGCTGATGGAGCTGGAGAAAGGCCTAAAGTTAGGATCTTTGCCCTTTACGGAAGTAGACGTGAGAAACTTCCTACAGTCTTTCAGAAATGTCGGGCATGATTATGACCCTGTTGATCTTCTCGCAATGTGCAAGAGAAAAAAGGATGAGAATCCATGTTTCAGATACGACTTTAAATTGGACGGCCATAGTAGGGTGGAGCATATTGGGTGGTGCTATGCTTCATCAGTTCAGCTTTACGAGTCATTCGGTGATGCAGTACTTCTTGACACCACTCAACGTTTGGATTCTTATGATATGCTCTTGGGCGTTTGGATTGGCATGGACAATTTCGGGGCAACTTGTTTTTTTGGCTGTGTACTTTTACGAGATGAGAGCATTGAATCTTTTTCCTGGGCATTGAAGGTATGTTTCTTGTTACCGTAGTGTCATTACCCGGTTTTAGGCTTCCTTTCATTTCACTGTTTGAAGTTGTTTCTGTTGTCCATCCTGGAGAAATATGATTTAAGGATTTAAGAGCCTGTTGCTCTTATCGCATTGCCATTCTTGGTTTCATTCCTTGGAATCTCAGATCTTATGTTTAACTAATAACTTTGATTTCCATTTTTATATTTTACCAGACGTTCCTTGCTTTCGTGAACAGCAAAGCTCCACAGACGCTGCTAACCGACCACAATATCAAGTTGAAGGAGGCCATTGCCACTGAAATGCCCGAAACAAAACACGCTATTTGCGTTTGGCACATCATCGCAAGATTCTCCGACTGGTTCTCTACTCTGCTCGGATCACATTACGATGATTGGAAAAAGGAGTTTTATCACCTCTATAGTCTGGAATCTGTGGAAGAATTCGAAGCACAATGGAAAGATGTGATCAGTAAGTATGGACTTCATGGAAATAAGCATGCCTCGAGCTTGTATGCTTTACGGTCTTATTGGGCTTTACCGTTCTTGAGGCGCTATTTCTTTTCCGGGTTACTAATTTCATGGCAAACTGAGACTGTTAGTGGTTATATTCAAAGGATTTTGAGCGCTCAGACATGTTTGGATCAGTTCGTAGATCAGGTGCGTGAAGTTTTATGACAATGTATATCATACGAATATTCAATTGAATTAACTCGCAGAAGCAACTATTTTCTCGATGCAGGTGTCTGAAATTGTAGAAACAACAGATCGAGGTGGAACAACAAAACAGAAATCGCAGAAGAAATCTCAGAAGTTGTGCATGAAAACCGGTTCGCCCATTGAATGTCATGCCGCTTCTGTTCTTACACCATATGCTTTCACTAAACTCCAAGAAGAGCTTCTCTTAGCTCCACAATATGCGTATCTTCTCATCGAGGAGGGGTGTTTTCAGGTCAGACACCACACCCAGTTGGAAGGTGGCTGCAAAGTGATATGGTTACCTTGTCAAGAGCACATCAGCTGTAGCTGCCATCATTACGAATTCTCTGGCATCCTCTGTAGACACGTTCTTCGTGTCCTGTCCAGTAATAACTGTTTCCAAATTCCAGACCAGTATTTGCCTGTTCGGTGGAGAGTTAACCCCTTCAAGCCATCTGCAAAGGACCACTCTGAGAGAATTCAAATGCTAGAGTCCATGACTTCGAAGCTTCTGTCAGAATCGATTGAGTCAGAGGAACGTCTGGATTTTGCTTGCGAGCAGATGGGGATGGTGCTCTCTCGTGTTAAAAACCTTTCTCCGCCCGTTCAACGTGCAACCGATATTACTTGTAGCTGCCCATCAGACTCTCTGATTCTGCCCGAGATGGATGATGCTGATGGAATCCACAGTTATGCTATGGGAAATTTCCATGATCCCGCAACGTTGGGGAAGCTTAAAGATAGAAGGTTAAGAGATGGCGGTGATGTAAGCAGAAGGCGAAAACCGTTCTCTGGAGCTTGTTATGGGCAATATGGGCATGATTTATCTCATTGCCAACTGTTGGGAAGTGATAGTTTGAATGGAGATGCACTTGGGTATCTCTAGAGGTAAAAACAAAACAAAAAACTGAACAAAGTAACCTTGTATAAATCCGAGATCTTGCATGATATGTGCAAAAGCCTTGTCATAACGGCGAAAGACTGCTTGCCAGCTTCATAAACATTTGCGAGCAGGTAGAAACGCATTCAAATCCTTGATCTTGATTCATTGTTGTTCTCGGATCGTTGAAACCCGAGTGTTGCTCTTTATTTCCTCAGATGCTCGAGTACTCGGTGGGCATTTCTACTGTTTACAAGACGAAATCCCCATCTTTTGCAGAGAGAGTTTTGGCAATGGTGTGGCATGAGGAACAAAAGAAAGGTAGCAGAAGCAGAAGCAGAAGGAGAAGGAAGCAGAAGGAGAAGGGTGTTGTTCCTGAGAATGGTGTGGATGTAATGTAGGTAATACAAAAGCTAGTGAATTCACATACATACATACATACGTATGCATATATGTATGGAAGAAGCCTTTGAGTGTGTGAAATGTGATGACGTGGTAAGAATCCATTTCTGGAATGGTTTTTGCATCAAGAAACCCAGAAAGGATCTTCGTTCAATGTCCGAACCTGACACAAGTTTGAAAAACCCGCACTCAGAAATTTTGAGTCCAGTCCAGTACGGTCCGGCAAGCTAATACTTGTTTGGTTCACCTTAGCTGAATCGAGTCCATTCGTCTAATAAAAAAATACAATTTGAATATTAAAAAATCTTATAAAAACATTTAAAAAAATACAATATATCATTTAAATATAAAAAAATATTTAAAACATATTAAAATTTTTAAAAAACTATAATTTTCTAGCTCGCGGGTTATCTCGTGAGTTTATCTCGGGTTCAAATTTTCTTAATTCGGGTTGGAGCGAGGTAGGCCCATTTTGATACCATATGAGGTTTAAGGCCCATTTCCTCAATTCTTACCCGATGCCTCGGATGAGATTCCACGTTACAATGGAGTAAGAAAGGGTACTCCATATACTTCATGATAACCATTTCTGCTTTCGGTTTTGGATTCGGTTCGATTCGGTTCAGCGATTTTTTCTTGTAAAACCCTATTTTTTAAAAAAGAATTATCGGTTTTTCGGTTATTTTTTTAATCGGTTCGGTTTCGATTTTTTCAAATTTAGATAAATTATAATCGTTCAATTTTATGTCGGATTCGGTTCGATTATGGTTATATGTTATTTAATTCGTTTTGATTCGACTATTTGATTAATAACCAAAATGGTCATTTTGATATATAACATAGATCGAGTGTAAACACTAATTCAATATTAGTTTCAATTTTGGAAAACTAATTCGGATTTCGACATCTAAAATGAATTCTGCTTCACATTTAAGTCATCAATTTGCAAATAATTGGAAAACGTGGTAATTAATTAATTAACTAATAGGGATAGTGATTAATTGTATATTAATAGTTAATTAAAATTCAGCAAAAACAGCCATTGAATTCAACTATTCAAACTCCTTTGTTGCTTTGCCTTCTCCCCTTTCCCCCTCTACTAACACACTCTCATTTTCAGCCCCCAATTTTCAAGATTTCTAGGGCTCTTTCTCTACTACGTCGATCGATGCATACACCTCCAAGCATGTGTGTGTGTATACTTTGATCTTTGAATTGAGCTTCGCTTCTATTCCCATCGTCGAGAGTTAGAAGACGAGGAACCATGTCGCTGAGGCTGAACGCGAAGGCGGAGGTTCGACGGAACCGGTACAAGGTTACGGTGGACGCGGAGGAGGGTCGCAGGAGGAGAGAGGATAACATGGTGGAGATCCGGAAGAACAAACGCGAGGAGAACTTGATGAAGAAGCGCCGCGAAGGTATGCAAGTTCCAGCCGCTGCCGACTCTCAAGCCGCCGCCGTCGGAAGAAGGTAATTCTCAGTTTCTTCGGTCTTACGTGTTGTTGGCTTCTGGTGTGTGTGGTTTAGGGATTCATTTGGGATCCGATTGTTTAGCTCTGATTGGGCATTTAGATTACGGTTTAGTGCTTTTAAAAAAAATACTGGAATTGTGAATTTTTCCTATTTCTGACTCTGACTTTACATATTTGCAATTCGATATCTTGCCGGTTATGGTTGCTGGAGCTTTGTCAGATGACCCTTCATTGCAGCTAGAGTCCATTACTCAGTTCCGGAAGCTTCTGTCTATCGGTACTTACGTTTGTTTGTTTGGTTCGATTATTTGATTTAGATCATATTCTGTTTTATCATTGCTGAATTGTCTTCCTTTTACCTCTGTTGCTGTGGGTATTATTGTATCTGTTTAGAGAGAAATCCTCCTATTGAACAAGTGATACAATTTGGAGTTGTGCCTTTGTTGGTTAAGTTTCTTGAGAAGGGTGATTTCCCCCAGATTCAGGTCAGAGAGTGTCTTTCTCTTGTCTTTTTGATGTTTGTTGTCATTGTCATTGTCCAGTTCTGATCTTCTATGTCCATCACTCGTTTGAAGCTCCTTGGTCGCTTACAAACATTGCTGGAACCTCGGAGCACACAAAAGTAGTGATTGATCACGGGGGCCGGGGCTGTTCCAATCTTTGCCCAGCTTCTTGCTTCCCCCAGTAATGATGTCCGCGAGAATGTATGGTTCTTGCAGTGGTTGTGTTTGTCTAATATTTTAGTGGGGGAGATAATAACAATAGCATGATCACACTTGTTCTGAGTATGTCTTTTTATGGACGTGTAGGCTGTATGGGCGTTGGGACTTGTTATTGGTGATTCACCGCAGTGCCGTGATCTTCGTCAACTCTGCTGGTGAACCATTCGTAGCATCAAGTATGGATCCTACTTCAATAACAAACGATATGCAACATATCATCGAAATTGATGTTGAATTCACTATGGCAATAATAGCATCTGGTTTAATCGTTGTTTCTTGTGTCTGATGCTACTGTGGTAAGCAGACAAGTGATATGAGAATGTAATATTCCAAAATATGATTCTTTCTTATGAGTGATTATATAACTGAAAAAGGCGTTAATTCATATAGTTTACACCTTAGTCATTGAAATAACTCCTTTGAACTTCTTCTTCTCCAGTGGGTGATCGAGAATGGTGCTCTGCCCTGCCTTGCACATCTCCTTACACAAAACTACAAGAAAAGCATAGAGAAGGAAGCTTGCTGGACTATTTCGAACATTACCGCTGGCAACAGGGAACAGATCCAGGTGAGCAGTTTCTACTCGTTCATTGCATGTCTCTACCCGTGTTGCATAAGATGGGTCTGCTTCTGGGGACAAGTAAAGATGTAATGTAGCTTGGTCTGTTCATATACTTGTCTATCAGTTATTTTATTGTTCTTTAAATGATTGCAGACCGTGATTGATGCTGGATTAGTTGCCCCATTGATCAATCTGCTTCAGAACGCTGAATTCGACATAAAGAGAGAAGTAGCATGGGCAATTTCAAACGCCATCTCGGGTGGTTCTCATGATCAAATCAAGCACGTCTCTCTCTCTCTGTTTTATACTTTTGTTCGGTTTTCCTTAATGATGTTTCGGTTATTACCATTTTGGTGTAATACAAACATCAGGTATTTGGTGGAACAAGGATGCATAAAACCATTGTGTGAACTGCTGGTTTGCCCGGATCCAAGGATCATCACGGTCTCTATGGAAGGGCTGGAGAACGTTTTGAAGGTCGGAGAGGCAGAGAAGGACTCGGGCCATACGGGAGGAGACGCAAACTGTTAAGCAGATGGACTGGAAAAGATTGAGAACCTGCAGAGCCACGACAACATCAAGATCTATGAGAAGGCTGTCAAGATCCTCGAGATGTACTGGCTCGATGATGATGATGATGATGACAAGACATTGCCTAATTCAAGATTCCAGTTTGGAGTGAACAATGTTTTAGTTCCCTCTGGTGGATTCAACTTTGTCTGAACGGCAAAATACTCTCTCAACTACAAGAAAAAAAACTCCAACCCGGCTAATTTGTCAAAAACCGTAGGAACTGTGAAGGTATTGATAAAGGTTGGATCGGGTCCTGTTGGGTCAGGATCAGAATCGGGATCGGGTAGGCCGTCCTCTGTTTTTTGGTTTTCCGAGGTCTTTCGGAGGGGTTGGGTCATAAAAATTACAGAGTTGAGGTGAATTTTTGAGAGTCGGGAGATAGATACTGCACTCTTCTTCTTGTAGGTATAAAACGCTGCGTTTCGATGGCCCCCCTCTCCTAATTTTGTAAGGTCCCCACTAATTCCCCGAGTTTTTATATAGATTTTTGTTTTTGTTTAGTGTAAAGAGCTTTAAGAAGAAAGGGTAGTTGAGGGTTTCACTAATAATTAGACCGCTTACCTTTTTGACTTGTGATTTAACCGGCTACCTTAAACAACGGTTTTTTTTATTTGTTTTTCATTTATGGCGGGACGCATTATTTTACTTAACGACCAAATCATTCACATCGTGTGATGATCTTGTGGAACGAAGTGTTGCATCATATGATCACAAGGCTCTACTAATCTTTGATGTAATCTTTCCATTTCCTAATAGACTTATATATATATACACTTCACCTTATAATTGCATCTATATTAAAAAAGTTATATATTGTTGGAGTTTTTCTTAAAAGTAGTTAAATTGGTCAAATTCAAGAGTTCGAGTTGAATATTGACAATTAAAAAAACGAGGGAATAAAATTTCTAAGGGTAACAAAACTTTTTAATCGAATCAAATTTGAAAAAAGCTGAATTAAACCGAAAATCAATGTTAAAACCGAATAACATAATTGTTACAAAAATATAAAAGGCCTGCAAATATAACTAAAATCAGAAATATATGTCATTCGATTGTTATTGTCGGGATATATATATGTATATATGTATATACATTGCATCACACCAACCTTTAACTTTAACTTTAAGCCTTTTCTTTTTTTGACAATGTGTTAAATGCAATTTGAATTAGTAAATGAGCTTTGAATTGGCTTTTATTATTTGCTTTTTCTCACATTTCGGTTCATAAATATCATCACATCAACCCCTACTTGCTACTACAAATACTGTTTTGGGGAAGACAATTAGGACTTTGTAGTTTACTGTTAATGTTAACCTTAATGGCTCAGTGATGTCGAAATGGATGTCTTGCGAGTCACTCCATATTTTTCGAGTTGGATTTAAAAAATTTGAATTCGAAAAAAGCGAGCTGAATGAATTAGTTCGTTGCGGATCTAACTCATCACAAACCAATTATCGACAATTTTTTTAATATTTTTATTACTTTTAATATTTTTAAAATTATATTTAATATTTTTATTTTATCTTGATTTAGATTTGATCCGAACAAATTTTTCTATTCCGTAAATTTGAGCCGCAACGTTTTGAGTTTAAAAACGAGTTGGATCGAATTGATCTGAATTGGATAGAACCCAATCAACCCGTTTTACATCACTAACCTCGTTTGGACAGTTCTCAAATCGAGATGGATGAAATTTTTTTTATATCAAGTAGATGCTAATTATTTGGGAATTGTGAATTGATTTGAAATCTCTTTGCTACGGATCCAAATATTTGGATATCCCAATATTTTGGAGTGGGTTCAGGTAATGATTACCTCTTCATTACACTATAAACTTTATAATAGGCTAATAATTATGATACATAAATACAAGTCTTTTAGCATTTTGATTTATTGATATCTTGAGCAATACATGTCTATCAGTAAATATATTATGAGGAGTACATATCAAATTATGATATATATTAAATTATTATATTTACATATTGGTTGTGTAGATTCTGTTAACAAAAGTGAGAAATATTAAAAATCTCATATGGATTATGAATTAAATTATGTTCTCGGGATAATAATTATCGAAATTATTGAATCCATATGATGCATTGTATTTTAATAATTTGACCGGCACGAGTTCTTTTTTTCAATAAACGTGTAATAATAGAAATACATTTTCTGAACAAAAGTGTGGTGGAAATTCAGTGTATGTATGATTTCAGTTTTCTTTTGTTTTGTTTATATCTAACGGTCAATTTCACATTCCATAACTAAATTCGTCGACCGATTAATTAAATAAAGGGAAATTTATTAATATAATAACAATAATAATAATAATAACTTGATTATTTGTAATTTTTTATGTTTCGAGTGACGTGGACACTACTGGTCTGTCATGCCTGAATCTCTACTGACAATGATCCTACGAATCTTAAGCCAACGGCTGTGATCGGAGACACGTGAACAATTGACCACAGAAGTACAGTACTCTTACTGTATACTATAATTGCCGGCTCAAAATCAGTCAAATGGCGCCATTCTCTTTCGCCAATTCATTACAACACAAAAAAAAAAAAGAGCCCCTCTTTTTTTTTCCCTTCTGGGTTTGGCGGGTGGCAATGTCGCTAATAGAACACGAGTTCAGGGGTACTTACGTCATTTCTATTTGAAAGGCTAGGGTTTTTACGACCAATTTATATAGCGTGGTTTAGATCTGCTGCGTGCGGTGTCTGTCGGTTCGATTCTTTGAAATCTCTCTCTCTCTCTCTCTCTCTCTCTCTCTCTCTCTCATTCTCTGACATTTACACTCTCTCGCAACTCCCTCTAGTCCTCTGCATGTAGGCGTGATCCTCTCTTTGATCCTTCTCCACATCGTTCTTCTCTCTCCCCACGAGTTTGTGGCACCCTTTTCGTTCCTCCGGTCTCTGCTTTCAAACCCTAGATTCCGATCGCCGAGATCACCGCCTAGTACTTCGTCGGCTTCGATCGAAACCTAAAACCCAGACCGATCAGTCCTTTCCACGCTCTGGGTTTGGGCCAGATTACTAAATCCGAGGCGAAAATGCTAGATCCCAGCGAGAAAGTGAGTGATCTGTTTCTGTGCTCTGTTTATCATGTTTGATCATGATGATCTATGAAGCTGATCGCAGTGTTTATTTTTCCCCTATTCGGTGTCTCGTTTTAGGTATTGGATTCGGAAGCCATGAAGAGGAAGTGCTCAGCTCTAGATTCAAACGAAGAGAGCAAAAGCAGCAGCAGCAGTAGCAGCAATGGAAGTGTCATCAACGAGACGAGGAGCGAGGCGAAGAAAACTTGTGCCGATTGCGGTACGAGCAAAACCCCTCTGTGGCGAGGCGGTCCCGCCGGCCCAAAGGTAAACCCTAATCCCAATTCATCCCAAATCCGATCCGATCCGCTTTCTGTTCTTCAACGATCTGACGCCGATCTGATCGGATTCGCTCCACTTTTGTGCAGTCGTTGTGCAACGCGTGCGGGATCAGGAGCAGGAAGAAGAGACGGGCGGTAATCGCCGCCGCCGCCGGTGGTGGGGGATCGGCGGATAAGAAGCTGAGGAAAGGTGGTTCCGGTGGGAATCAAAACAGAAACCCTAAGATCGGTGATTCGTTGAAGCAGAGACTGATGGAGCTGGGTAGAGATGTGATGATGCAGAGATCGACGGTGGAGAGGCAGCGGCGGAAGCTCGGCGAAGAAGAGCAAGCCGCCGTACTGCTCATGGCTCTCTCGTACGGCTCTGTTTACGCTTAGTGGTCGTGGATGCGCCATTGAAGGACGATAGGAAGAAGGCGGTGGTGGTTAATAAGGAAGAAATTAGGGTTTTTTGAATTTCTCTGGTAGCTGACGAATCAGAATCTGTAACCTTACCCTCTTCTCGTTGGAATTCGTTCGTTTATGTGTTCTTCGATTAACTCTTCTGTATCTCTCTTCTACGATTTGGAGGTGGATTTTTTTGAAAATGTAAGAAGATGATGGAAGAATCTGAATGAGATTATGTTTGGATTTTTATTTTTATTTTTTTACAATTATATTTTTCAAATTTTGTCTTCATTGGGACAGAAGTGGGGCGTGCCATCTGTCATCCACAGTAAACTGTTCGATTTAACGAATTATTTTATTTACAATATACAACTAAATATTTGAATTTTCAAAATAAGAACAATATTGTTATTGCGGCCATTTGCTGCTGCTCATTAAGCTCAGCTTTTTTGAACGACTTTTCTAGATTTTCTTTCGTGTGAATATTTAAAAATTTATTAAATTTAGTTTAAGTTTTTTCATGTTATTCAAAAAATTGTATTATTTGATTTTTATATTAGTTCTTTGTTTGGTTTGGATTTTACGATGTTTTGATTTAGATATAGTTTTTATGAAAAACTTTTATTTTAAAACTTTTAATTGTTATCTTTTTTTTTTAATTATAAAAATATTCTTTTCATCTCACTATTTTAGTTTATTTCATTTTCTATTAATTTAGTCTTAACAAACTTCTGTCTGTTTTTTAATTCCATTTCATGTTCTGTATAACACATAATTATGTAGATCAATTTGATTGTCTACATAAATTGAAATGTCTAAATCCCTAACTACTTTTCTCGTCCAAGCTGAATTTATTTTATCAATAGCAAAAAGCAAAATTTTAAAAATGTTCTCAAATGGAATATAATTTATTCCATTTTGGATATGTGGGCGCCAAGTATGCAGAAAATTCAATCCAACTTGGATTTGGTAGGGTTCATGTTGGTCTGAATATAGGGCAAAAGATAGGTACCACCCTATATCTACAATTTCACCACTTACACTTACATCAATATATATACATATATATATATATATATATGCTTAAATTGTTTACTACTATGTATTAATGGCCTTTAAATTTACTATATATATCCCAATATTATTTTGAAAAGATTTGGATAAGTTATCTTTGTAGACGATATAACTCATTTCGGTTTGAATAAATATTAATTTTGATCGTATGTTTTCATGTTTTTAAAGTTTGTAACAGGAAAAAAAAAACTTTCTATATTTAATTGTTTCTTAGTCAATTTCTTTCTATATTTAGAACTAATTCTAATAAACTACTTTTATTCGCTTTGATTTCTTGAAGTTTTGAGAGAGAGAAAATACCTTTGAAAAAAAAAAAGTTAAGGCTAAAAGGCCTTGCAAACCAGAAAGAAGCTGCAAAAGTAAACAAAAAAGGAAAAAGTTTATTGCACTTTAAGCCCAATACATGGCCCATACTTCTTTAATGGGCCTAGCCCAACAAATACAAGTGGGAATTCATTTTTTTTTATCCAAACATCAGATAAATGATAAACCGGCTCGGTATAACAATTCAGAACCAGAAAAGTGTATACCGGTTTTAAGTGTTGTATCTTTGGGTAATCGTTCAATTACGGTTTTTAATTTACTATGTTTAGATTGAAATTTTATGGCCATGAAAGAACCGGTTTACAATTCTAAGTGAGATTTGGGAGGTGATGTGTTGAATGACTCAATAGTTAACCGAAGTTATCTTATGTTCCGGTTATATCAACCGGTTCAACCGAATCATACCGGAATTTTAATCACCTAACCGGTAGGTGGTGGGATTGGCTGTTGGGCCCCTAAAATCCCGTTACATGATGTGCTATACAGCTAATATTTTTCACTTTTTGATGAATTCTCGATGTCGACATAATTATATTTATTTTTAAAAAATTATTCATATGTTTGATGTTATTATTATTTGCATAAAAATAGAATAATAAATAAAACTAGAACAAAGATACGATAAATGGTCGATGTCAGTGGGAGTAAAACTCGTGTCTTACAGTAGCCGCCGATGAGTACAGTCAGAGGGGATTCTAGATGTTTCATTCGCTCCAATCTCATTGGTTCTATAGCGATCTTACGGTGTGTCGAGATGTACTAGATCTTTCCTCCGATGACAACCCTAGGATTCCTCCATTTTTTGAATGATTATTTTTCAATAAACCGTAGTAAATAATATGTAATTATATTTAAATTAAACATAAAATTAATTTAAACAGATACTATTAAATGAGTGAGTAATGGAATAACAAAATCAAATAACAAAACTAAAATTGCATATTTTTTTAGGTAAATACTGATTCTGATTCCCCCAATAAAATTATAATTACACCGAAATTAAATTAAAAAAACAACAAACAAATATACTTTTTTACAATGAAAAATGCAAATAGGAAATGACCACCTCAACTTATTATGCATCTCATTTAGTTGTTTAGTAAAATTCTACGACTCCATGATAATTTAATGAGCAATGATAATAATAATCACATGCAAAATAAGCTAATAAAATTGTTTTGGTGATGACAATAATAACGGTCACGATTTCTAGATGTAATAATTAAGCATTGTTTGACTAATTAGGTAATAAAAGAAGGCATAATTAGTTAAATAAACAGATAATAATCGGAGAAAGACATCACGTTCACAGTTGAGGAAGTAAAGCCACCGACAGCTTAATTAAGTGAAGTGACTGTAATAAACTCGAAAAATAAAACTTCATAACTACGATTTCACTATTTATTTATTTATTTTTTATCAACGGAAAATTAAAATTTTAATTAGCAAGAAACATACTAAATACAAATTGTCGGAAAAAAAAGAAAATATTAATTTAGTAAAGTTGAAGGGAGAAAAAAAGTTAAGAAAAGGGATATAGATCGAAGGGAACTAGAACATGTGTTCACTGGATCCAACATTCATCTAACCTTCAGATCGCTTGCAAGATCCGTCGAATCTGCGACATTATTACGGCATTCTTCCTGATTTTCCCGGAAATACCTGATAAATTTTCCGTCAAACCAAACAGATCAAGACGAGAAACAGCGCATAAGAGAACAGCAGACCCGAGATCCGATCCGACCCGGAAGCCGCCGGCGGAGGGATGTGATAGTAAAACGGGAAATAAGGGACGATCGGATTCGGTGGAGGCGGAGTCGGATAATTGCCGTAGTACGGCGGCGGATAATAGTATCCGTCACCGCCGCCGCCGTAAGGAGGAGGAGGAGGGTACTTGTTGCCGGACTGAGACGGCGGTGGAGGGGAATAGTAATAACCGCCGCCGCTGGAGCTCGGGGGAGAAGGCGGGGGAGGGCAGGCGGCGGTGGTGATGGCCGGAGGCGGAGGCGGAGGAGGAGACGGGTTAGGGTTACATGGGTTGTCGCAAGAAGTGCACATTGTGCAGGAGACTTGTTCCTTTGATGACGTCACCGCCGAAGTAACCGAAAGTGGCAGTGACAGAAGCAGGATGAGAAGAGCAGCCGACAACAGACCGGAGATTCTGAGTTCCTCCATTTTCAGAAACCTTAATATCGACGAAGAACGCAGATTCAGAAACTGTGTTTCATGAAATTTTCACAGATTGAGAGAGAGAGAGAGAGAGAGAGAGAGAGCGTAGATGATCAAGAGTCCTTCTTATTATTATTATTGCGAATTTAAATTATATAATTATGTAAATGTCTTTTTGTTTTAGGAAAGTTTATTTTTTTTATTTACCAAAAAAAAGTTTATTTTTTTTTCATATTCAAGAAAAATTGTGAAATACCGGAAAAGGTGATGCGGACATGTTTTACTATTAACCCGAAGGTGTGTTATTAGCACCGAGTGGCGGGAGTAATTTCGTCATTTCATTTGAGAGATATTGTAAATGACGATAATACCCTTGTCCTCGGTAGAGATCCCGTGGCGGCCGTGTGAAGCGAGTAGGGTTGGGAAAAGGGAGCTCTAACAAACGTTGCGGTCATCATAGTGGGGCTTGACTTTTCTGGCAAGCTTTCACACGTGGAGGTTTATGACTGGTTGGATGGATGATTACGTGGCAGGACCATGAGGTGACGTGATAGTGAAGGAAGTTTCGTCGCTCACTCTCTCACTTTTTTTTTGGACAAAATTTCAACACATGGTTAAAACAGTTGACTAACGTAAAACAAAAGAGAAAAAATAAAATACAGATATATATATATATCTATATAATATTATAATTTACATATATAAATAATATTAAATTGTATTTATATGTTTTTTTTAAGAGACTTCGTGAAAATCCAAATCTACAAATGTTCGATTAAATCGAGCATTTTTTTTTAAAACCAATTTGGGTAACAAACGAACTAGTTCATGAACCACCTTGTTCTAACAAAGCATAACACAATAGTTTCATTTAATGGAAAATGTTCTCAAAATCTATTAGATATGGTTTTTAAGAAATTAAAACGAATTAATTTCGAATCGAATGCCAACTAACATTAAAAATAAAAAAATAATAAAACGAAAAGAAAAGGAACATATTGTTAAATATAATGATTTTTTTTAGAAAAACTGATTTTACATCCAATCTAAATATAATTGAAATTAAATTGAAAACGAACATAAAAAATAAATATGTGTAATTTTCAATAAAACACCAAAAAAAAAATCGGAAACAAAACATATACAAACAAAAATATTAAATTAAAAAAAAACTGACGTATTTAGCATTAATCAGAGTATATGTATAGGAGATGATATGTGAATCTCGATGGTATACAATGGAAAACTAACCACCAAATTGCATGTTAAAAAAACATTGGTAATGAAATTTAAGATAAGCTTTTTATGGAATGTGATTGAACAATGAATGAAAGGAATGGTATCTATCAAACTCAAAGGAGAGAAAAGGAGACAAAAGCTTCGTCGGCGTTAGTTGGCAAAATTGTCCACATCTTTACCTATACATAATACATATAATACGATGTAAATATTTTAAGATAAGTGATAATATATATATATATAATTATTTTTTTAGTTATTAACTTCTATATATAACCTAAAGTCTGTGTTTGAGGTTAAAATATAACAATGATTTACATTTTTCAGATGTTAATTGTTAAATGTAATGTATGTAATGTGATCAGTATCCAATAATTGTTTTATGTAAAATTATAATAGTTATCTATACTTAATAATTATCATATTTAAATGAAAATATTTATTAATTTATGATAAGAATATATAAAAAGTGTTTTTTATTACTAAATTTTGGGGTCCTTATTTACCTATATATATACACACGAAATAGTTACCGACAAAAGTGTTGCAATAATTATCCAAAAAAAAAGTCTACGTATAAATAATGATTTTGATTTTGGGTACCTTTCTTTTCATGTGTCGTATTATCGTTTGCAGTCGCAGATTCCCTCTGATAAATCCAAATATATGTCGTGTTGCATTGATACGAAATAGTTGTACGAATTAATATTTTTCTGTTACGTTATTCGGTCATTGTGCGTGGCCGCATATATAGTATAATAGCAGATATATAATATATATATATATATATATTTTTATAAAAAAAACTCTTACCATTTTATTTATTGTAGAAATTTCTTAAGTTTAAAACTAAAAGTCGTAATGCTAAAAAAAAAAATTGGGGGTAAGTGAATGCTTATGCCCCTATATATATTATTATATAGATTTTATCTTTTTATCCATGCATGTAGAAATGACCGATCATCTTTAGTGTCTGAAATAATATATAAGCATGGAAATATAATTAGATAATTATTTCTATTCAATTTTTTGGAATACATCATTTTTTTTGTACATTTACGTAGTGAATATGTGAAGGACAACAGAACAAAATACGTTTTATATAGACCCGAAACGGAAAAGTACAATAAGTATTTTTTTTTTTTAAATTTTAAACGTAATTATTCCTTATTTATTTGTTTAAAATTGGACCCACCATACAAATCAAAGGCAGTCAAATAATTTCAGGCCCAATTGCAGAGAAAAAGTTGGCCAATTAAATATACCGTTTATTTTATTTACTTATCGAGAATGGGCATTTCCAAGAGGAAAATTAAGAGCTTTAAATGTTTTATTTATCGAATATATGCAATTATATTTGGGCTTGTAATGTTTTTATAGATATCATTATTTTATCGAATATATGCAATTATAGTTGCAGAAATTAAAGAGGATTGTAAATGGATGTCCTCATAATATTTGACGTTCCCCCCGCATTATAATTTGCGTGACAATGATCGCAATCCAATCACATGCGGGATTCCGAACCGTCACACCATAACATCATTAACGTATTTTTATATATTTTTTACAATTATTGGTTTTTAATTTTGTTTTATTCCTGTCAAAGAACGGTTGATTCTCTGCGGGGGAATTTTATGTAAATATAGAAAAATGTGAGGGTATTTCTGTAAATTGACTGAGCACCGTCTTTCACATTGGAAGTTCCCTCTCTCGGGGTTTGCCTTTGCGCCATTGGTGGCTGCCATCGTTCTAGGGTTGCGTTCTTCGGAGGGGATTCGCAAACATCTTCTTCTCAGCTATGTGATCTTTCCTCAGTACTCTTTAGCGCTCAAACAGAAGAAATGGACTCGAATTCATGGATTAATCGCCCCTCCTTTTTCTCCTCGTCCTCTTCTTCTTCTTCGCGGGGGGTATCATCAATCCCGATCAGGTTTGCGCGTCTTTTTTGAATTCGTTGATTCTATGTGTTTCCTGAGAGAATTTTCGGTCTAATTGTGAAGTTTCGCGGTTTTCTGGTGTGACATAATCCGTGGAATTTTGGGCAGGTTTGTATATTTGAGGGAGGTACGGGGAAATCGAAGGAGAAGACGAGCTGGATGCGGAGTTTGTCTGCCCGTTTTGCGCCGAGTATTTTGAAGTCGTTGGGCTCTGTTGCCACATTGATGATGATCATCCCGTCGAGGCGAAGAACGGGGTAATGATTGTCAACTTGACAACGTGTATTGCTGTCCTGAACCGTAGAAAATGTCCAGGAGGATTCGTTGAAATCCTTGTTTTTCTCAGGTTGTTGTTTAGCTCTATCTAGATTCAAGACTTTGCGTTCCCGTGGAAATTCTTAAGCTGTTGGGAAAGAACGAGGATGCTTTTTTCTTTCTTGTGATGGGATAATGTGATTTATCATACCGTATCATATCAGTCCTTGTCGAGTGTGGTCTATAACAACGAGGGTAGCTTTTGATTTCTCGGAAAGCTTCTGAATCTGTCGTTATTTGGGTGTCCGCCACTGATTTAGCTACCGACCATTTAGATTCGTTTCCTCCAAAGCTTGCCCTTTATCATTCATTGGGATTGGTAGGATCTTGATCCCTTCAGCGTTGGATTTGTCAGGGTAAAGCTTATGCCTTTTGTTCTTCTTTATGGTTTATCTATCAATGAGCTTGTGCTTTCTCGATCACTTTCCTGGTTGATAGCTTTGCTACATTGAGTGAAAACTTTCTCAACTTTGATTTCTCAGGTATGTTGTGTCTGCACGAAGAGGGTGGGATTGGATATCGGTGGCCATATCACAACACAACATTGGAACTTTTTGAAGATATAGTTCTTCTGCCTATCGTGCAGGATCGAAGGAGAAGATTGCGCAGAGGTGGATACAGTTCTTCTGCCTATCTCTCGCCGAAAAAGGAACCTCAGGAATCATATTTACAGTCTCTTCTCATCGGTTCTTCGAATTTCAGATCTTCTTCGATCAACATAGATTCTGATCCACTGCTCTCGTCCTTTATGTTAAACCCTCCTTCAAAGAATAAGCCGCTTGCTGATACATCCATGGCGGCATGGCCAAAGGAGCCCCTGCATCAAAAGCCTCCTCACATGATCAAACCCTCGAAAGATATATACACACACACATTTGCCCCTTAACCCGTTTTCTTTAAGGAACGATTTCGGGACCGTTTATCGATATCTATCTAACTTGCCATGGCAGAAATTATTGGAAAAGCGTGGCTTTCAGGCGAGGACCGAGACAAGGCAAGAAGAACGAGTTTGTCCGTTGCCTGATGTTGTCAACCATGTTTGATTGTGATGTCTAATTTCACTAAAGCCTTCGGCCATGTGAAAGGACCCGAGGGTCGGAATTGTCACAAAGGTGAATTCAGCAAACCTTTGTAGTTTAGAAAAAAATGCAGAGTATTATTCCATATATTATTATCATCATTGTATGTGCATAATTTATATTTTAAAAAAATGGAACTACTTATCCTCCAATGAGTCAAAAACTTGAAACTTTCATTATCAAAACCTGTTACATGGATATTTATTTAACTATAACATATTTGAATTAATTATAAAGATATCTATTTATTTATTTTTTATATTTAATTTATAATTTTACCGTACTATATATTTATCCATACCTTTTTCCTATTAGTGATTATCTAAATATTTGGGATATCCACGGAATATGCACAATCCAAATATTTGTACACAATGGAATCAACCCCGTCGGATTTTGAGATCGGATACTTCAAATTTTTTAAAAGTTAATCCGTACCTAGGAATTATGGTTATAAGTACATTACTATTTATTTCCAATTTTTGGTGTACAAATTTGTCTAAAGTGGACTTAATTATATATTTTTTCTATAGGTCGGAATCGTTAATCACTTTAACCCCCCCCCCTATTTCTAACTTCTCATTTCCTTAAATTGAGCGGCGAAACCTGTCAATTTCTAAAACGCCTAAAAGACTTGGGCCGAGATGTAGGCCCAATAATAAGTTTGAACGTATAAAAGCCCATAAGGGCCCAATTTATCAGACTCGCACTGCTATTCAACGCGCAAAGCAGATGCGTGTCCTATTTATACGGTACCGCGGGTTGGAATCCAGTTTCAAATGTATTTTCGTGTTTTCCCTTTTCTTTCGGTAAGAAAAATCCCTAATCTGATCACAGCTGCTTCGGATTCTTTTCCGTCCTTGAATATTTCAGAATCGAAGGGTTTTTTTTGTCGGAATTTCTCTCGATCATGGACTTCCCTGTGATCGCCGATACTGTTTCCGTGGTTGCCGCGCAGCAAGGCGTAGGGTTCGGGAATTTTTTCATCAAACGCGGAGATTTGGCGTCTGGTAATCATGTTTCGTCCGCGGATTCTGCTGTAGATCAGACCTCGGGAGGGGGATTCCAATTACCGGCGGTTATTTTCCCGGTCGACTCGATCCCTCCTCCGCGGGTGAAAGCCAACGCTTACAAGACTGTTCGGCGGACGTTTCACCGGAAAAAGCGGCGCACGAGGCGGATTTCGTTTTGCGGCGATTCGGAGGACGGAGGAGATTTCATTCGTTTTCTCTTTGACGGTGATAGCGGCGGTTTTGAGCGGAAACGACGGCGGAAAGGGGTGGAACTTTGGTGGATTCGGTAGAGGGAACTGGGATGAATCACCTTCGCGGCCATCGTGGTCGGATCCGGCGATGGAGTTCGTGTACGAGGTCTTATGTTGGATTGCGTTGTCGAACTGCGTGCACTTCGCGTTCAAGAGGATAGTGAGGATCTTGACGGACGGCGAGAGAGAGAAATTGGCCATGAGATTAGCTCCGGTTTGCTGATGATTCGTGATGATTGATTTTGGTTTAATCGAATATCGATTCAGGGTTATTTCCGTGGGCGTAGGGTATTCACTATTCATGTGTATATAAAACTGTACATATCCTGTGTTATATCTGCAACTCAGCCTTAGATTTCACGTTCCATTCTTTTTCTTAGTTCATCCTGTCGCTCATTGCTGGTTTATCCCTTGCATTCAATCTCCTGGGCCTTTTACATCCTTGGAACATGAATGGTGATACACCACATTGTAATTACTACTCTATCTTCTCAGCTGATAAATGATCGAAATTTTCGATGATTGGAGATTGGTGCATTCATCTCTGTTGCCAATTATGTGGTTGAGCCTAATTTTCAGTGCCTGATCTGTCTACTTGTTGATCCAAAGGGCGCGTGTTGTTGTATTGCTTAAATCTGAACTCTGATGCTGTAGATTGTCTGGCACTGATCCTTTTCTTGTATGGTTGGACTTTGGAGGTAGGAACATGGATTGCTTTCTCAGCAGCTGTCAGGGCATTGCAGAATTTGATCTTGTATGAACATGCCATGCCCTCTTGGGATGTTTTCGAAGGACGTGGAAGTGGGCAATGGTGCGTAAGCAGATGCTCATTTGATTTATTCGCACCTGTTTCTTTGGAGTTGCAATCTCCCAAAGGGTTCATGCGTTTACTGTTTTGATTTGCTTGTGCACCCTCTTGTTTGATTTCGGTTTTCTCTGTCACTGTTTTCTGGTTTAAGGCTTTATCTCAGGTTATGGCTGAATTCTCAAAAGAGCAACTTTTTTTTTTATGGTGAGGTAAATGTAGGATCCTTGTCCAAAGCCTACTCCATGTTTGGGTCATTCCTCAAAAGGCGAAATCTTTCATCTGATTCTGAGGACCAAGCAGGCAACAAAGTTGAGACCAGAAAAAAAAAGTGAGGTAATCTCGTTCCTTGGTTGGACATTTTAGTGGTAAAAAAATATATGCTTGATTCCTTTTCTTGGCCTTTGTAACCACGGATTCAAATATTGGTAGGTGATGTAACAATACGGTTTTGGAATTTCGTAAAATTTGTTTTCTTTATATGAAATGCTTGTATAAGAAAATTGCATAAAAGCTATAGGGTTATTTTAGCTTTGATTGAACGCTTTTTACAGCGATAGTTGAATACAAAATGGTTGAGTACAAAGTGACATTATATCAAAAATACCCTTACTTTGCTATTTTACTTCAAGACTTACCCTTGTGACCATGTGACCAATGTGACCGAAATATAATATGGTCACATTTTGATTTTATCGATTATAACGTTAAATTTATGGTGATCACACTAATTCATTATGTTCATACCTTGTATATCTTACTAATCATTTGATTAAAACATCATAAATTTAATGTTATGAACAATGAGATCAATATGTGAACACACTATATTCCGGTCACATTGGTCACATGGTAACAAGAGTAGGTCTTGAAATAGAAATAGCAAAGTAATGGTATTTTTGATAATGTCCCGTACAAAGTTTTGAAAGTAGGAGAGCGTTTTTTATTGTTTTTTGGTTTTGGAACGCATGTAGTTTTTTTTCTTCTAATTATAACTTTTTAGGGTAATTTTGTTGTGTAACTCTCTATTTACTTGATTCTTGATTTCTCCGTTTATAATATGGTTGATGGAATGTAAATGACTGACCTTCTTGAATTCTCTCATCTTCCGCTTGAGTTGTCATTATCTTTCTTTCTTTTTTCTTCCACACGTAACCTAGTTTTTTTTTGTTAAATCGAAAAAACTATACTAATAATAAAAACAATTTTAAATAACTATTTTTATGAGTAAAACTTAAAACCGGACCGAGTTTTGATCGAAATAAAATTAAACCGAAATCGATTTAAACACTTAATAGTGAGATTTTTTTTTTAAAACGAAAATCATCTGATCTATATATAATCGGGAAAAGAAAAACGAAATGTTTAGCCCCATCAATTGGGCTTTTAACCCTAATAACCCACTTGGGTCGCAGCAATTTCAGGGTACACCACCGAAAAAAAAAAAAAATTTGCGACCTTATTACGACTAATATATAACTAATATACAACTAAAATAAGAGTAGTTTATTAGTCGTAATAAGTTATATATTAGTTATATATTAGTCGTAATAAGGTCGCAAATTTTATTTTTTTTTTCGGTGGTGTACACTGAAATTGCTGCGACCCAAGTGGGTTATTTGAGTAATATTCCCCCATCAATTCAGTGAATGGAATTTTAAAAAAAAAAATCAAAACTTTGATACATGATTCACAGAACCGCAACCAAACCTACGAGCAAAGAAGGCTCAGAAACCTCATTCCCAAATGGAAGGGACATTGTAAGAAAGCTCCTCAGCGATCAATAACCCTAAAACGCAAACCCATCAAATGACCCGATACAGTGAGAAGAAAGATTTCGAATCCGAGAAGGGGAAAGAGGTACATACCTGCCGGCGACGGAAACTAGGGTTTTGTCCCGGATCTCCTGGGTCGGGTCGTGATGGGGAACGGTCCCGGAGCGAGTCGGGTCGACAAGACAAGACATCTTGTCGAGTAGACGAACAGATGACCGGGAACGATCAAAGAGCGAAGAGGAAGAAGAAGAAGAAGAAGAAGAAGAGAGAGAGAGAGAGAGAGAGAGAGAGAGAGAGAGAGAGAGAGAGGGGGTTTTGATTAACTTGATTTAGATATACGGTTAATTTTCATTTAATTCAAATCAATTCGAAGGTTTATACTTTATCTCATTAATTTTAATTTTTAATCACAAATCATACACCTAAATTGTAATTTACTTTAGGAATTGGTTTCCTTGTAGGATTAGAACTTCTCCTCCTATATATTTACAGTCATATACATTCAGATATGTATCGACTTTTTACTACAATTTCGGAGAGGAAGAGGATAGGGTAGTGTTTGTCTCGTGTCTCCAAACTCGTTCCGTAATTCTGTCGTGAATTTGCGGAAAACCCAAAGAAATATGGCGAGCAGCACCGGCGATCTGGTGACGCGTGTTCAATCGGCTCACCGGTTTAACCACGATGCCTTGCTCCAATTCGCCGCCGGCAACGTCCCTGGCTTCCCGGCGAATCCTTCCCAATTCACCGTCTCTCAGGTATCGCCGGCGATGGGTTTTCTCTGGGTACAAAGGAAAAGGCCTAATTAAATATGATCTGTGTTTGCAGTTCGGACATGGGCAATCGAATCCGACGTTCCTGATCGAAGTTGGGTCGGGAAATTCGTTGAAACGATACGTTTTGAGGAAGAAGCCCCCTGGGAAGCTGCTTCAATCTGCTCATGCGGTTGAGAGGGAGTTTCAGGTGATTGATTCGAAAACTTTTTTTATCTCTGAGGAAAACCCGATTGAGTTCATGCGAATTAGAAATCGATTTTCAGGTTTTGGGTAGTGAAAAAACGATCATAGAATCGATGCGATTGCTTTTGGGTTTGTTTATAATAAAGATAAAGGCTTTGTCCTAATTCATCGATGCTGTAAAGGTTCTTCGGGCATTGGGTGAACACACACTGGTACCTGTTCCTAAAGTCTTCTGCTTGTGCACCGACACGAGTGTGATTGGAACAGCGTTTTACATAATGGAGTTCATGGAAGGGCGTATCTTCATTGACCCATCATTACCGGTATGCCCTTTTGTCGGGAATCCGGATTTAGTTTCTGTCTGAGAAAATGAATGATCGAGAACCGAAGGCATGACATTGTGTTTTCTTTGTTTCGGAAAGAATGTAGCGCCTGAAAGGAGGAGAGCAATCTATAGAGCAACTGCCAAAGCCTTAGCTTTTCTTCACTCTGCTGATGTGGATGCCATTGGTCTCGGGAAATATGGCCGGAGAGACAATTACTGCAAAAGACAGGTTTGTGAGTTCTAGTTAACCATGTTATCCTGTTAAAGATCCAGCAATGAGTCGGAGTTTGGTTTCAGATTGAGAGGTGGTTCAAACAATACTTGGCTTCAACAAGTGAAGGTAAGCCTGAGAGGAATCCGAAGATGTTTGAGCTGGTTTATTGGTTACGCAAAAACATCCCGGCTGAAGATTCAACTGGAGCAACATCAGGCCTTGTCCATGGCGACTTCCGCATAGACAATCTCGTGTTTCATCCCTCTGAGGTTTGATTCTCTTAAGGTTGTCCTATCTTTGATCCTTGTAAAAGTTTCTAAGTCCTGACTGGAAAATACTTAAACTGCAGGATCGAGTGATTGGTATTATTGACTGGGAACTATCAACTCTTGGAAATCAAATGTGTGATGTTGCATACAGCTGCTTGGTAATTAAGCTAAAGCTCGTTTCTTCGTGCAAAGAAATCCAGATTTATGTTTGTATACTTCCTCCTGTTCTGATGGATCTTTCGCCTTTGTTTTTAGCATTACATAGTGAATGTTCAGCTTGACAAGGAGCATGTGGGCAGAGGTATGGAAACAACCGGACTTCCTGAAGGGATTCTTTCACTGCCAGAGTTTCTCGTAGAATACTGCTCTGCTTCCGTAAGACCTGTTTCGACTCATTAGTTAAAATCTGCATTCCTATTATGCATGTATGCAGTTACTTGAATACGAGCTAAGTTATCATTCCTTGTTGATGGCCTGATGCTATATGCTCAAGTTTCTGATGTGATTTTTGGTGTATTGGCAAATGAATTTAGGGTAAACCATGGCCCGCTGCAGAATGGAAGTTCTACGTTGCGTTTTCAATGTTTCGGGCTGCTTCCATATACACCGGGGTGTACAATAGATTGTTAATGGTAAAATTTCCCGGAAAATTAATGTGTTTGATTCCACCGTTCTCTTAAGACTTTTGGATTTTAAATTGCGGAAGCATTGACCGTGCAGGGTAATGCTTCTGCTGGTGAACGTGCCCGGAATACAGGAACTCAAGCTAATGAGATTATAGGGTCTGCCTTGGCTTATATTGCACGCGAGAATGTCCTTCCCAAACACCCTCCATCTGGTAATTAGACGTACATATTCAATTTTTGTCGAGGGAACTGTCTAAATCACATCTCCTTGGATTTTAACTGTCAACGTTCGATTTAAGACAAAAGCTTATTCCTTTTGATGGGTTTCCTGCCATGTGGGGATACAGTAGGAAGAGAGATGAACCGGTCGGATGACAGCCTCGTGGATGGAAGCGGGAGGCTTATCCCCAACAGAAAAGTCGCGGATTTGAGGCAGAAACTGATCAAGTTTATGGAAAATCACATCTACCCGATGGAAAACGAGTTTTACAGACTAGCTCAATCTGATTCTCGTTGGACCGTTCACCCCGAGGAGGAGCGGTTAAAGGAGCTAGCAAAGAAAGAAGGCCTGTGGAACTTATTTATACCGGTATGTATCGTATTCTTTTCATGCCCCTTTCTTGTACTCCAAACTCAATGATTCTCTGTCATCTACTTATGGATCCTTGGTTCTTTGCAGGTGGACAGTGCTGCTAGAGCAAGAGAACTAATAGCTACTGACAATAAACATAACTTCACGGGCAATTCATATGATCGGTTGTTTGGTGCGGGCCTCACTAATCTAGAATATGGTTACCTTTGCGAGATCATGGGTCGGTCCATTTGGGCCCCTCAGGTGTTCAACTGTGGTGCTCCTGATACCGGAAACATGGAGGTTAGTGTTTATCTTTGCTCATCGGTTTCTTTAGAGCCTAACATTCTTCTAAGTGTTATCTTTTCGGTATTTCTTTTCTGTTTCTGTAATCTGTATCATCATGCAGGTGCTATTGAGATACGGAAACAAAGAACAAATATCGGAATGGCTTGTTCCGCTGCTCGAGGGGAAAATCCGGTCTGGATTTGCTATGACTGAGCCACAGGTTGCATCTTCAGATGCAACCAATATTGAGTGTTCCATTAGAAGGTGAGAAAGGGTTTCTATTCGTACAAAATATCATATCTCCAATTCCTCTACTATCTTTATAATCTTGGGGGGAGAAATTGACATTGCTCTGCTATTATCTCCTTACCAAGCCCTGCATTGCTTTTGTAGAGAAGGGGATTCATACATCATCAATGGCACAAAGTGGTGGACGAGTGGAGCCATGGATCCCAGATGCAGAGTCCTTATTGTCATGGTGATTCCTCGTCTTTATCCGTATATACCGATACGATACAATTGTACATACATCTGTTTAGTTCTAGTCAAAAAAATAATTTGGTTGAAAGCGGGTTTTATCTGCAACGGGCGCAGGGGAAAACAGACTTTAACGCTCCGAAACATAAGCAACAGTCTATGATCTTAGTGGACATGAAGACTCCGGGAATTCGTGTTAAGAGGCCTCTCACGGTATTCGGGTTTGATGATGCGCCTCATGGGCATGCCGAGATTTCCTTCGAAAACGTGGTCGTACCATCGAAGAATATTCTCCTAGGAGAAGGCCGAGGATTCGAGATTGCTCAGGTATCACTTCTCACTGTAACGATTCAGAGCCATGGAGTAATAGCTACTTATATGTATCATAGACCATATTTATAAGGCCTTTTTTTTTTGTTTGGTTGGGTTCCATCAGGGTAGGTTAGGACCTGGAAGGCTGCACCATTGCATGAGGCTGATCGGTGCGGCAGAGCGTGGAATGGAGCTAATGGCTCAAAGGGCTCTTAACAGAAAAACTTTCGGGAAGTTTATCGCTCAGCACGGCTCTTTCCTCTCTGATCTTGCCAAGGTAAAACCCGATAAATCTTTTCGGTATTATTTAGCTAAACAATCCCTCTATGGTTCAATTACAAATGCATAAACTGTTCTTACAAGACATTAACTTTGGTGTGATCCTTACAATACAGTGTCGGGTAGAGCTCGAAAGAACCAGGTTGTTGGTCCTGGAAGCGGCCAACCAGCTCGATATGTTTGGAAATAAAAAAGCCCGCGGAATCATCGCTATGGCCAAGGTACAAAAACAAACCATCTAGCGTTTTCCTCTCCTCTCAAAACGAAAACCCTACTTAGATATCCGAGAGAAGTTAGGGATGCGCATTGGTCGGGTACCCAAGGTTTTCGGATTACCCGATCGTATCGGGTCTCACAAGATATTACTTGATCTTGGATCCGTTTTGGTCGGGTAAGCAGCCAAACTCGAGTTTAAATACGAAATTTCGAGCTTTTTACAATATATCATATGTTAGGAGTTGACTCGGGTTGGGTATCGAAGTTTTCAGGTTATCAGAACTGGAACCCGTAATTTCAACAGATTCCGTTAGCTTTATGTGTAGCATCTCTAAAACCTAAGGGCAAAATTGTCTTTTTCACTGTTAGTTCGGTTAATACCCGATCACACATTTGTTCGTGTTAATGTCGGATTCCAGGTGGCGGCTCCAAACATGGCGTTGAAGGTAGTGGACACGGCGATGCAAGTGCACGGGGCGGCTGGCTTATCCCAGGACACCGTCTTGGCTCATCTCTGGGCGACGGCCAGAACTCTCAGGATAGCCGACGGACCCGACGAGGTTCATCTCGGCACCATTGCCAAGTTGGAACTCCAACGGGCTTCCAAGCTTTAAGCTTATATATATATTATATATATTGATTCTGAAAAAAAAAAAAGTCTTTTTTTTATTCTCTTTTACTTGATCTAAATTAATAAAGCTGTTCGAGGGGAAATGGTAATAAAATCTGAACAAGTGTTTATGGTTATGTAAGTTATTGCAAGAAAATGTTTTAGTCATCATGATGCAAAATTTATTGGAAAAATGTGATTTTTTGCATTTTTTTTTCTCTTTCAAATAACCTCAAATTAAGATAAAGCATGAAAATCCGAATTCAAAATTTTCGTGTTTTTCAAATAATCTTAAACTGTGCCGGGTTAAAGTATTTTAAAATTTATAATTTAATTATATTATAATCGTATAATTATTGGGCCATAACCATGGGCTTGGAATAAATAGCAAAATCCAGACTGAGCCCATCTTCAACAGCGCTAGCTTTGGGATTTGGTCGAGAGTTTCTGGAAGGCAATCAATATATTATATATAATTATGAAACGGATTAGCGTCAATAATAATCATAATTAACAAATATAAATCTGTAGCCCGTATACAACTAAACCTATTGTGTATATATATATATATATATTAGTAAATTACAAAAAGTTTTCATAAAAAAAAAATACAAAAAGTGTCAGTAATATTAGAGTTTATATTATTTGATCGTGTTATAAATTTTGCTAAAATAATTACCTTATTTATTTAAACGTATAGAAGTTAAAACGTGATTCTATTTGTTGACAACAAAGGAAATGAAACATGATGTGTTCCTATATGTTTCTCCTATATAATCCCCTGCCTACACACATGCATATATGTATATATACATATATATATATATATATAGATTATATGTATATAAGAGGCAAGCTAAAAATTGTAAGTATAGACAAAGTGAAGCTATAGTTGTTGTGGTAAAAGATAAGATGAACAAGAGCACAGAGAGTCTTTTGATTCCAAATAAATAATGCACGTGCTTGCACATGCGTTCCGGCCAATGAGCTCCTGCGTTTCCATGCAAATCGCTATATGTAGTGCATACATATCTCTATCTATCCATCAACATCACATCAATGACATATATATACATACACACACACCATTATGTAACGTGACAACGATATTTAGATATTTTTACATGATTCTCTTTAAATACAAAGATTTCATATTAATAAATGAATACAATTAAAAATACTAAACAAGATTTTTCAGAAGAATATTACAAAAAAAAAGAATTTAATGTCTACCTTCTTCGCATTTGACTAATACCGAATCGTCCGCACGTAAAATTCCAATTTTGCCCACCAAATCCCGAGCCTTCAACGACTCTATCTCCCAAACCGTGTTGTAAACAACGGTCAAAATGGTCATTGCGCAAACGATCTGTGCTCCAAGCAACCCGTAACACAATCCCAGAAACCCTAATCTAAACACAAACCCCAAGACCACAGCAAGTGGGGCCCCCACCATGTAGAAAGCGTAGAAGTTGATCTTCGCCCCCACACCTGGCCTCGCGCTGCCACGTAGGATCCCACAGCTCGTGGTCTGTGGACAGTTTCCGACCTCGCACAGCCCCACCACCGGCAGAACCGCCGCCGCGAGTTCAATCACCGCCGTGTTCGCCGTGAAAATCCTCCCCCAAGCCTCCCTCCCCACGATGGTTCCGACCAGACCCACCACCGATGCGGCGGG